GGGGGGTCAGCTGATCCGCTTTGCGGTTTTACGGCTTCGAGACTACGCGATAACAATAAAGTGAACTCGCTCTTTGTCGCTCGCCAACCTATGAAATAACACGATGAAAATAAATAAGTGCAGATCTCGAGCCACTGACGAACTAGAAAAGTGTACTGTGTATTTTCGCAAACGACGAGTGTTTCTTCGTGTTTAATTTCGAGTAATGGCGCAATACTTTTAACGTACATAAAGCGTATGTTTACGAGGCATTTGTGGTATTAAACAGAGGCACGTAAGCGGAGAAATTACTGGGATTCGCGGTTATCCATTCGACGGAAGTTACATATTTTTCAACGCAGACTAGCTGACCCGCTTTCGTTTCGTTCCGTTCCGTCCAGCTTTTCCTCCTTCCTCGCTTATCTTTCTCGTTTTCCCTTCTGTTGTTGTCCGCGGAATGCGCCTCGAATGCATGTTCCCAAGTTCGCGTGATTTTTCATCCCCCATTGCGACTATCGATTACTCTGCCTTTAGTTCCGCGCCTTTTTTTCGCTCGCTCGCCTGTTTGGCCGCGATTGGCTTTGAAAAATGGGTGAGTGGAAACTGGTAGAACATCGCATCTACCTAGAATCGCTTTCTTGGAAAAGCATTTGTCTACACTTTCTTGACGTATCATCCATTTATTGCCATCCTTTTCAACAACAATGAAATTCCAGATAACCAGGTACTTTGATAAAATACGTAACCTTTGAAAAGATTCGAAGCTTTCCGAGTGCATCGAAATTAAAAACACAGTCACTTTTTTAAGATATCGCTATCGATCTCCAGGCAGAGCACAGACTGTCTTCACGAAGCGAGCGACTCGAAATCGACGGTCAGAAATGCCGATCGAAAGTCTGATGGAACGTGCTGTTGTTTCTTTTTTTCTACGCCGATTCTTTACGCTCTCTTTTTCCCTTCTTCGAGTACTGCGATCTCCGTTTAAAAAAACAAACAAATATTATACTATAATCCTGAACGAACAGCTTGACAAAACGTCGCCTGATTTAAGCACGTGAAAAATACAACAACTCATTCCAGGCGAAAAACAAAGCGCTTATCATATAAAAACACGTGATTTAGCTAACGCGCAGAAATCTCGACGATTCACAGACATAATCTCAAGAAAACAGGGTGACAGGGTTATCCTCGATGGACTAATGCCACACGCGTTCTACCTGTCCGTGTTGGCGAAAAAAAATTCGCTTAATTTCCTACTTGGCGGCGGAAAAAAGCAGCGCGTAGCGCGTACAAGGGTGGAAAAGGCGAAAGGAATGCCGCGACGGCAGAAATGGACGAGCGAGATGAGCCGAGCTACCAGCTACAGGTACTAATTGCTTTAACGAGCAGTGGGTGCGGCCGCTTCTATAAAATTTTCTCTGTGACGTTCCAAGGCGCCAGGCCAGCTGCAAGCCCGACCCATCCTGGCCGCGAGTAAAAGATGGCCAGGCGGGATGAAAAAGAGGCATGTGAGGGACGAGAGTGGTATGGGATGGTTGAAAGACTGCAAAGATAAGGAAGACCGTGAAGGCTATGGTGAAAATAGGATTGTTCGAACAGATGTAAGCACTGGAGGGTTAAAGATTGATTTCTGCCGATGAATCTGTCGTTCGGGGTTCCACGAGTCTGGTCGTAACAAAGATAAGAGCCACGTGTCTATAATGTTGTAGACAATTCCAAAATTTCGCGTTTTACAGCCTTCGGAGGACTTATCACACGGGTCAGGGGCACTGATCGTTTAGGCAAATCAGACATTTTATGGTTTATTAGGATATTCGAGAGTTCCGATTATCCTGGCTTCGAATACGAGTAGGTTCAGCCGTATTCATTTTTGTTAAAATATTTCTTTTCTCTCTTTCGTTTAATTAATAAAATATCTTAATCGTCGACAGTGACAATGCTCGCTCGAAACTTCTAATTCGTAACTCCACAAACGCCAGATTGCCAATTCGTCTACGACTTTAACAAGCCCTATCATCTCACAGCAGACTTTACCACAGCAGACCGATTCCAAAGTATCCAATCGCAACGTGGTCATCCTTGACGCGGAAACGAATTTTCCACGCTTCCAGTCCTTTTTCCATCGATGCCTTTCAACCTTCAGTCAAGCAGAATTAACCTGGGTCAACGTAGCAGCTGCATTAAATCCCTGAGCTTGGCAACACGGTCGTCGACGCTCAGAGTGCATTACTATTAGCAAGCTCAGGCAAGGAGGAAGAGAGTGACGCCTAATGGTCATACAAGCTGGGTCTCCGGACTTCTCTGTCGAATTTCCAGCTCTTCTATCAGCGTTGCTCTGCTCCTTTTTTCGAACTAGCCTGCTTCGCTCGCGCTTGCCTTTCCAACCCCGTTTCCATCTCTTCCCGTTCTTTCGTCTTCGTGCTATCGTCATTTTCTCCCTCCGACTGTTTTTCTTCTCCTCTCCCTCGAAACCCCGTTTTTATCCAGGCCACATTTCATACTCGCCAATTTTTTATTCCTCGCCACCTGTTATTTCTCTCTTCCTCTCCCTTCCTCTTTGTTCAGTTTCGTTATTCTTCGCCATGCTATTTTTGTTGCCCCGCGTTTTTACCACCGATGTTTAGTCTCCCATGTTCGCCCCTGTGTTCCGTCTGTTTTTACGAACGTACGCCGCGTTCCTTTTTCGAATTCCTGCTTCGTGCACTGTTCAGTGATATTTTATCCGTTGGGAAAAGCACAAAGCTTTTAATTTATCGAAATCATTCGGCCGGTAGGATTTGCTGACTTCGTTTTACGTGGTTTGACTTTTAGGCAAAGTGTTTGACAGATTGCAAGGTATACGTAGAAAATGGTGTTTGCGAGAATATCTCTTTCTGCTTTCCAATCTATGAAAACGGTCAATGTGGCTTCTGAATCGCTCAATTAGCTGCGATTTGTACGATAAAGTTATTTAATTAAATTCTCATCCTCGGGTTTCTTTAAAAGGAACGTATTTCGCGATCAACCGCTCGGAAACCAAGCAGCAGCACGGTTGTGAATTATTTAAACAGAGATAAATCCCCGTTGGTCGTTCGCTTGTCATCTTCACAAAAGAGCTCACGCACACGCTTGCTCGCGGAACTGAAAGCGACTCACTCCCAAGAAGAATTCCTCGTTTTGTCTTCTGTTTCTCATTTCCCTTCTTTCTACGCCCCTAACTCTCCCTTTCTTTTTATATAAGCCGATCCCAGCCAGCGGATATACGAACACCACCATAAAGCAGATCACAATGGCGTCCCTATCACTATCACGTGGTGTAATAACGAATCATGATGGCGGTAGCGTTTCAATCAGCTGATTTGGCACGCGTGCCTCTCTCCTATCTTCGTTACGATCGGAGCAGCCTCTGTGAATTATTGGACGATGCTGCAACAACGCTCGACAATTTCTAGGAATTTCTCTCACCGAGAGAAACACGGGACTCGAAGATTCGTGCTTCGTTTCGGGTAACTTTAATTTTTGCCAAAAATTGTAATTAGGTTAGACGTGCGTTATTAGTATTATTTTATCTAAATTTCTCTTGGTATAAATTTTCAGGAATTGTTCAGGAATTAAAAATATCCGAGATAGGATCAAAATGTCTCGATCGAAAGAAACTTTTCGAATTAGGGAACCTTCCAGATCGAAGATATCGAAAAGAAGCGATAAAATTCCAGAGATGGAGAAATCTAACAATTCTCATGAATATTTCAAGTAAAACCCAAGAATTATTTCATAAAGATTTTTCAAGATGGAATCCGAATAGCTCGTTCCAAAGGAATTCTTCGCGCGTCAGAAACCGAAGATTT